CATATATATATATACATACATATATATATATATATATATATATATATATACATACTTTTTTTTTTTCGTTTTTATAGTCTTGAACATCCTTATTTTTCTTTAAATATATTACAAATATAATGTAAAAGCAATTGTTTTTCTTTCTTTTCTTTTCTTTTTTTCTTATAAAATGCCAAAAACGAATAGCTTACATTAAAGTGATTTATTTCTTACAATGAAAACAATGGTTCTAAAAATAAAATAAGCACATAAAAAAGAAAAAGAAAATAAACTATGAGTTTAGTGTAGTAAAAAAAGAGGAAAAAAGTGTAAAACTACACAGTGCACACATCCATTAAAAATTGCCTGCTCGACAACTATATTTCCTTTTTTTTTTTTTTTTCAAAGACAAAATATGATCAAAAGTCGTTTTAAATTTTTTTTTTATGAAACATATGCCCTGTTTTAGGACAAGCATTATTTACTGCTCCAAAATATGATATTTTATCCTAATGCAAATCCTGTGTTGATATTCATAAAGATTATTGGTTCCTCCCAAAAAGGAGGAAAAAATGAACTGTAATTGGTGGTCTAGGTTTCATTCCCCTGCTAGCTCTGCCAGAGAACAGATTACACAAACATTCTCAGAGAGTTTAGGATGGCAACCTTCTGATGGCCCCAGCCAAAGCAGAGCTAAACCAGGGGCCGGTGGAAGGGACTGTGCACACTTCCTCTTTGTATTTTGCCTACAAATATAGAGGCTGTTCATAAACACCTACATATTTTCAAGCAACCCTTAAATATGTATGAATGTTCAATAACAATATATCACAGCAAGTGGCCTTCCAGCAGTAATGAAATGATTATGAATTTGCACTTAAAGATGTACTGAAGTCCTACTTGAGTGGGTCAAAAAAGCACTCTAAAGTTTAGTATAAATTCAAATTATAATACTTTTTCATTTAATTGCAATTAACATGCAATTAACTGAATTACATTCAGTTTGTTCTTATATATTATTTTAAAGTAAACGATCCATAAAAAGTACTCTTTTACAGTATTTCTTTATCATAAGGATCATTACATTAACTATCAACATGCTCCACTAACAGTTAACAATCACAACGATTTTGTTAATACCGCAGCTGAATGTGGCCCAAATCTGTTAATTGGATTCTTACTATTAACTAGTTGCTTATCAGCATGCGTATTACTAGCATATTGGCTGTTTATTAGTACTTATAAAGCACATATTAATGCCTTATTCTGCATGACCACATTCTAGATCCCTTAATCCTACACCATATCTAAACGTAATAACTACCATACTAACTATTAATAAGCAGAACATTTGTAGTTTGTTCAGGGAAAACTCTTAGTTAATAGTGAATACGTGTTCCCTATTCTAAAGTATTACCTATTTTACGGTCAACTGTAAGTGGTATTATTGGAAAGTGGAAGTGTTTAGGAACAGCAGCAACTCAGCCACAAAGCAGAAGACCTCATATAGTCACAGGTGCATAAAAGTCACCAACATAGCTGAAGAGATCCAAACTTCCAACGGCATTCATAACAGCACAGAAACTGCACGGCGCGAGCTTCATGGAATGGGTTTCAATGGCCAAGCAACTGCATGCAAGCCTCACATCACCAAGTGCATGCCAATCGTCTGATGGAGTGTGTAAAGCACACCACCACTGGACTCTGGAGCAGTGGAAACCTGTTCTGTGGAGAGACGAATCACGCTACTCTGTGTGGCAGTCTGATGAGCGAGTCTGGGTTTGGCAAATGCTAGGAGACCTGCCAGACTGCATTTTGACAACTTTAAAGTTTGGTGCAGGAGGGATAATGGTATGGGGCTTTTTTTTTCAGGGGTTGGGCTAATAAAGGGAAATCTTAATGCTTCAGCATAACAAGACATTTTGGACAATGCTATGCTTCCAACTTTGTGGTAACAGTTTGGAGAAGGGCCTTTTCTACTCCAGCATGACTGTGCTCAAGTGCACAAAGCATGGTTGGATGAGTTTTGTGTGGAAGAACTTGACTGGCCCGCTGACCTCAACCCCATCCAACACCTTTGGGACGAACTGGAATAGAGACTGCCAGCCAGGCCTTCTCATCCAAAACCAGTGCCTGACCTAACAAATGGCAACACTTCCTACAGAAACACTCCAAAATCTTGTAGAAAACCTTCCCAGAAGAGTGGAAGCTGTTATAGCTGCAAATGGGGGAACAACTTAATATTAATGACAATGTATTTAGTCAAGTCCCTGTTGGTTTAATAGTCAGGCGTCCCAATACATTTGTCCATAAAGTGTATCATGAATGCATGCTTCACAATTCCAGGGTGGAAGGTATGCTCAGTTTTATACCATATCTATTGATTTATCATTTAAAACCTACAGTAACATACTTCTTTTTGTGAAATGTTTGGCTTGAAAAGTGTGCTTATCCTATTTTGCTTTAACATATATGTGACCCTGGACCACAAAACCAGTCTTAAGTCACTGGGGTATATTTGTAGCAATACCCAAAAAAAAACAAAAAACATAATATGCATTGCTAAGAACTTCATCTGGACAACTTTAAAGGTGATTTTCTCAGTATTTCGATTTTTTTTTGCTCAGTATTTTTTTTTTACAGATTTTCAAATATTGTCCTATCCTAACAAACCATACATCAATGGAAAGCTTATTTATTTAGCTTTCAGATGATGCATAAATCTCAATTTCGAGAAATTGACGCTTATGACGTAGTGGTCATAAGCGGGTCACATATGCCATTTGTGTTTTAAAAATGACTTTTTTTTTTTCTATCTGATTAGATTGGATAATACTTTAGATTAGGGAACACATATTCACTATTAACTAAGCGTTTTCCTTCAATAAACTCCTAATTTGCTGGGTAGTGTTAAGGGATCCAGAATATGGTCATGCATTCATTTGTGCTTTATAGGTACTAATAAACAGCCAATATGATAATAATATGCATGCTAATAAGCAACTAGTTAGTGAATAGTGTTCCCGTATCTAAAGTGTTACCTTGATTGTCCTCAGTAAAGAAATGAGTAAATGGTGGGAGATAGAGGTTAGTCTCCGAGAGAAAGAAAGCAAAGGACTGACAAAGTACTGCAACGCTATCATCAGGAGCACTGCTTTGTTCGGTCATTGTCTTCCTCACCTGGGGCCAAGCTCATCCTCACTTCTCCACACAAAGTCTCCAAACTTCTCATAGTGGGAATTGTAGTGATGTTGTACACGATAAAGCAGCGGGGGGGAGATCTCCATCAGGGTGTTGTAGGCCGTCTGTTGCTCCTTTCCACTGGTGTAGCCATTATAGAGGTTGTACACTTTGTCTGCGATCTCTGTTTGAGGGGAAAGCATATCTGACATTTGAAATCTGAACTGTCTGTTTTCAAAGAACAAGCTTTCTAAGAAAATCCGATCGTTTCAGATGTTTTCTCTTATTTTTAATGACTGACAAATGACTGCCTGTTTTTTATTTATTTTATTTTTTTTGAAACCTTGTGAAAAAGAAGTGCACTTTAGCATACTTTTAAAAAGAATAGTTATTAGGAAAAGTATATACTTTAAAATAATATGCTTAAGTGTGGACTAAATGTGCAACTGCATGTTAAATGCAATTAAATGAAAGTGTATTATAGTTTATATTATTCCCACTTAAGTTGGACTTAAGTACATTATTATATTTAATTTCAGAATTACTTTCATTGTGTTTGAAATATGATTAAAATGGATTGGTGAATGTACTGACAAGCATTTATGGTAAACTAAAATATACTTTAATGTCTTTTCTACTCAAACTTGTACATCATGTATTTAAATATATTTTGTATTATACATTTGTAGCTGCAATTTAGTACTTTTAACTTTAAATTTAATGTTGAATAACACACTACAGTTAAAATTATACTCAAGCGCTTTAGCTTCTTTAAAGCATGACACAAGATTATTAAAACAATTATTTAAAAGGTACTTTATTCTAAAACTTTTAATTTGACATGATTACAAAGTGCACTTTTTAGTAGTGTACTTAAATGCGTTAAGAAACCGTCTCTCTTTAAATGCACTTAAAGGCAGAGTAAGTGATTTCTGGTAGTCAATGTTGATATTTGAAATCACCAAAACAAACACGCCCCTACCCCAAAAGGGTCTTGCCCCTATTTTGATAGCTCCGCCCCACATATACGTACGCAACCCAGGCAGCTGATCCAATATTTTACACGGGTCCTACTTCTTGCCTTATCTTTCCGCAGACGTTTTCCTCTTTTGTTTTTTATCCGCCATCTCTATCTTTCTGTCGCTCGGCTCGGCTAATGTCCATCCCATGCACTGAAAGCTCTCTCCTCCACATCACGAGTAGACACGCCACTTATTGCTGATTGGCTACAAGTTTGTTTTGCTATTCGGCCCGAATCAGTTTTCTAAAGTGTTTTTGAAAAATCACATACCTTTCCTTTAAGTGGCATTATATTTCATTAAGATCATATCTAGATATTCAGCTTTTTTAAAATATACTTTTAGGATTTGAAGTACACTACAAGTGCATATTCAATATAATTAAGCACACTTCTTTTTCACAAGAAAATGAGAACCAAAGATCAGATTTCATAACATGCTTTAATTCTTTCTTAACACATATTATCACATTATAACTTGCAACGCAAGTCCTATATTTCCCTTCCTTTGAGTGAACTTTCTGTAATCTTACTTCTGCATTGACATGGAGTTTGAGTGCTGTACATCCCTGTGATTCATACTGCTGCCAGACCTGTGAATTTTATTCAAGTAAAATGGTCTAGCCACTATGGATGATGTAATCATAAACAGACAGGACATGAAGATCTGCCACCTCAGATGGGTGTGAAGATGACATTTCACTGGCGCGCGGCTCACTCTGTTCATTCACACGTGTGAATGGAGTGAAGGAGAATGGCAGTGTACCTTCTGCTTTGCTGTCATCCACCATCGGACATGACGTGCGGACGGTCACAAAACTTGCATCCGACCGACTACCACGGCTGTCCACAGCATACAGAGTGAACCTAGAAGAGAGGACGGGGTGGACGTGAGAAAAAGTCTGCTTCAGTGTGTTTCCTAATCTCTGTCTTTAAGTTCCATGCAACTGAAACAAACAGACATTTGCACAAATAGAGCTGAAAAAACACAAAATAACTTTGGGATTAGCCAAAATAAACATGACATCATGCGACAAAATCATTAAAACCGAAAGGTGTCCCTGAAAGAGTGATTCTGGAGTTCTTGTTTATGAGCCTCAGACCACTGAAAACACACAGGCAGGAGTGTAGGGATTCCAGTGGATTCTGTTACATTAGGAAATTGCGTGCCTGACAAGCAAAAAAAACCCTGGCCATTACAGCTAATAGCAGCTTAAATGGGACTCCCACTTCCTCTAATGACGGAGTTCCGTTTGGCAAATACAAAACACATTAAAACTGCTGCTCAGCATTTTCTCAGACCACCCAGCACCATGTGCGCTAAACAACCCTGGCTCCACTGCTAATCACAGGGAAAAACCGCCCAGCATCAGCTGGCATGAACAGGTCGGGTCATTGAGGTGACTGATCCTTACTAGTTAACTACGTTTGACCGTCTATGTGTAGTCTAAATAACTATGCCTAGTTATTGTTATTAGGCAGAGGCTATTTGCACTGTGTAGAAACAAATCTAAGAGAAATATATGGCCTCTATGGATGCTGTGCAGGGATATACACACCATATAAACAGGTTAAAAATAGGTCTAAATATCATGGAACTCATAGACCACTCCACCTCAGTCACCATTTTACTCTTTCCACTTGCGAGAGGTGAAAGGAAGTAGAAGAAGAAGAAAAAAAAAATCAAGCCTACATTACTTGCAAATATCTTCCCAACTCAAAAAGTACTGTATGAAATGTTATCTTACTCCAGTGCAACGGTCACGTCATGTTTGTTAGTTTGTTCTTAATGGCTCTTGAAACACTAGTTCTTGATGACAACCACCCTACAAGATTCATAGTCAGATCTCTGGATTGCTCTGTGCATCAGAGTTGGCTCTGTTGAGCAGGTTTTTCAAACAGTCTGAACATTAGCCACAACAAATTTGTAGTCTCTTACTCAATTCCTCTAGCGCCATCAGCTGTCCAAAGTTGCACTCACGTTTATGCTCAAAACAAAAAAAAAATTTCTCACTCTAATGATCTTTTAATTCCCCCCCCCCCAAAAAAAAAAACAACAACAAAAAAAACCTACTTTTTTTTTTAACTCCTAGATCGCTGCTTCATTTGACATGGAAATCGAACCACAACATCTTTAGACCATGGCGACAAAAAGTAGTGGAATTCAAGTTGATTAGTCAAACCGTTCTGGAATAACGCATGAATAAATTCGACGAAGAGCACACCAAATTGGACGAGAGGATATATCTCCACAATGCTTTAGTGTATTCAAACCAAACTTGGTGTGTGTCATGACAACCATGATCTAATGGTACCTGCACAGTTTCGGCACAGTGCCACCTAGTGGTAAGGACACATGAAAAATGGCAAAAACAGCCAAGATATAAGCATTATATTATTTTTTTTCTGAACAGTTTGGCCAAAAAACACAAGACTGGCCTCTTTAGTTTCGGTGCAAATCGAACAACACCCAATTTTGCCATGTCCATCAAACAATTTGAGTTATGTCATAAAATGCTGTATTGTACGAACGCATTGGCGAATCGTTGCGGAACTCAAAATGTGTCATTGCCACCATGCCCTGAAGGTACTCAAACAGTTTTGGAACAGCGCCACCTGTCTTAAATCTTAATAAATGCTAATACATTTTGATTAATTTTAACTATTGTCATGAAAGTGGTCTTAATCAAGATTCTTTGGGTCATACTGAGAACATAGATACCAATTATGCCATAGTCCTCTCTGCCATTTTGATTTTACTTAAAAATCGACATAAAAAAAAAAAAACCTCCTACTAGACCATGGGTGCGATTTTCACCAAATTTGAATCAGATCATCTTCATACAATTCTGGCAAACTGTTATGGATTTCACATTGACAGACAACATTGTTTTCGTTTACCACAACAATGAATTTGATGGCGTGATGCCAAACTGCATCTGAGGCTGTATCCCTGCAAGGCTTTGACATATTGACACCATACTTGGTGTGTGTCATTGTCACCCAACACTGATCACACCAGACAAATGTGGAGTCAGCGCCACCTATTGGTCACAACTAATAAGCAATTATGTCACACTGAAAGTGATTGTATTTATGGGATTTCAACAATTTTGGTAATCTTTATTTACTAATTTTTGAAGTTGGTCTGATGCTCAATGCTTGCTTGCTCATCATTTTGCCCCTGTAGTGCTTGGCCCCTTATATTTAATTACTATTGCCGATCTTCCCAAGCTGTTGCAACAAAGCTGAAAGCACACACTTTTGTAGAATGCCACTGCATGTCATTACTGGGAATTACTGGATTTCCCAAACCCATTAATTAGAAAGGGATGTCCACATGATTTCGGCCATACTATGGAGTACGAGCTATGAAATGAAACGTGTTGCTGCACAAAAACTGTGTGTGTTATACTTGTTGTATAACAATGTTAAAATTTTGGTAGATATTGAGTACTCAAGACCATGCTGTATTGTGAATATAGTCCCAGATGAAGGTGAAACAAAAATGAAGGCCATTTGTGATGACTATATTCACAATAGCCTTTCATATTTTATAACTTAAATAATAAACGCTCTTAGACATGCCTCATAACCTCAGTATAGCTCCAAATCTTGGTACAGCTGTATGGTACAGTACGTCAAGTTTACTGTAACCACGAATTAAGTAGATTTGCATACAATACTCTCCAAGTTTATATGCAATGTGCCAGCATCAGATTAAGTCAAAAAGCACATTTTAAATATTTATTTCAGTTCCTTCATTACGAGAAATGCTGTTGTGCGGTCATACCGTAAACCAACATTGCATGCATCCAACCCCAAGTTGCCAGTCAGAGCAGACATTTCTTCATTCCAGCTTTTTTTATAACAAGCACTGCTGCCATCAGATGAATTTGATGTATCTGATGAAATGGATATGCGCTCTGACTATGCATAAGACAACGGAAGAATGCCAGAAATGTCTTTTCCCAGCTTCCAAAGAGACGTTTCTTTACACGGCACGGTTTCGACACTTTGACTCTTCCTTTGCTTGGAAATCCATATTTCAATAACCACCGGCTGATTGTTTTGTTTGTAATGCAGTCTGTTTATACATGGCTTGCATAGTTTGCCTGATCTTGTTATTCAACGAAGGAGTGTGGCATTCCTTTGCTTAACCTCACCAAAAGACATCACTCCAAATGCAGGCCAGCCACCATCCGCTGCCAATCTCATCAGAACAACACTGGCTCAAACAATCACATTGTTTGAATTATGTGGTTGCACGGTCGCCCAGTAGAGTGTTTTTTTTTTTTTTTTCAGACAATTTGTAGTTTGGTTTAAGGACTTCAGACGGGGAACTCTGGAATAGTTGCTGTTTTGAGTTGTTTAAGGTGTTGCAAAGATGGCAAAAGTACTTTTTGTTGTTACGTGCTCCGAATTAGCTCTCACTCTACCTTACACTCTTAAAATAAAGGTTCCAAAGGGAGGTTTTCACAGTGATGCCATAGAAGCAGCATTTTTGGTTCCCAAAAGAACCTTTCAGTGAACAGTTCTAAAAACAAAACTGAAATTCACAAGAATTACAGTGAGAATGATATTATATAATGATTTGATATTTTATGCATTATACTGAATTAGATCTCACTCTACCTTATGCTCATGAAAATTATGTTTTCATAGCGATACCATAAAATCAATTTTTTTTTGTTCCCCAAAGCACCTTTAAATAATCAGTTCTTAAAAGAACAATATTTTTTCTTAATGTGAAGAATGTTTTAATAGTCTAAATAACCTTATTCTACTATAAATAACCTTTTGTGCAATGGAAAAATTGCATGGATGTTAAAATTTCTTAATGCAACCATTTTTTTCCTCTGTAGTTTTCTTCAGAATACTTCATGTTTCTTATCTTTGCTTCTCGCTGGATGTCACATGCCATTTAAATCCAACTCCAAGTTTGAGGAACTCTGTGAACAGTTGGCAGTGATAAAGATCACCCAGGAGAACAAAGGCAAAGTGGTCTGGCTCATCGCTGGGAATGTCAAAACACGCCGGCAATACACACATTCCCCTGCCTGGCTGACGTTCTGCATCTCTCTTTTTTTTCTCACATCAGCTTCACCATTCTCTGGTTACTCCTGTATATTTGGCTTTTCTCAGCTCATGGCTGTTTTGATTTCTGGCACCTATCGTTCAGCTGTTAAATGAGTTGTTTTTGGCTAATCTGAGCACAGATTGAGACACTGTTGAGATCTTCAACAGACAGACGTATAGCTGTTTTCCGCAAAGTTCAGCAAACATCGCCATTTGCTCACAATTTAATCTCATAGTTCTAGAACAAACTGAGATGTCAACTGAGAACAAGATTTTCTGAAGAAAATCTGAGTGGTACTTGCACTTTGCTATACAGTGACTGTTGTTAGTGGTGGTCAAGGCATTGCTGTACAATGTTTTGAGGGATTTTTTTAGCATTTCAGAAGAAGGGGTGTGTAATATTGACAACAAATAAAATCTCAGTATTTGGGATTATTTTGTCGATAATGATAATTAAACAATATTTTGTTGAGTGTGTTTTAGTGCTGGTAATTTGGCTGGTTTAGGCCTGTCATGTATATTTATGACGCTAAAACCGCCAGTAGGTGGCGGCAAAGTCCCTGTCTTAATGAGTGATTCATTAAATCATTCATTCAAATGATTCATTCAAAATGGCTGATTCCTTTAGTAACGAAGCAAGTGACTGTCTAGTTATGAATGGATCATTGCAGTGTTGCTCTGAGATGAACTAATGTTCTGATTGACTTTTTTGGAACTATTTTTGTTGACGAAGCAGACAACATTGTGTCTAAAATGTAACTCACTCAATATTAATTTCTTGTTTGTTG